ATGGATGTTGAAGACATAGTGATTTGTTAGGTATACACATTTTCTCTTTTATGCCATTTACATCATCAGTTCTATTGTATTCCTTGATTTAACATCATTATCTACTAGACATTAGGCTTTTACCCTAATCACTTACCACCTGCCTCTCCCTCGAGGCCGATATCTCATTTTAGCTGAACGAATGGGTAGATTTACATATTTATTCGATCCAGCTATAGAAATACTCGGTGGGAAAGGCTAACAGAAATCTATAGAGAATATCACTGGAAAAACCGTTTCATTTCCCATCTTTTGTTTAAGAAACTCCCAGAACTAGCCTTTGATTGATATTATGCAATTCTGAATGACTATGTATATATATCTATTTGTATGTATGCATGTATATATGTATATAGTATAAGTACGTGTATTGTTGATACCAGGTTAGTGCTCACATATTTATATTTTCCTCTAATACAGATTGCTCTACAAAAACCAAGAAAAAATGCGAGAACTATGACGGAACCTGCAAAGCCTCGTGCGCAGCGGGAGAACGGATCATCGAAAAGGGCTGCAAAGGAAAGAAATGCAAATGCTGTGCTGAAGCCTGTAAACCAACAAAGAAATGCAAAGGCGGTTTCTGCGTTGAAAAGGCAAAAGACTGCACTGGTAAACTTCTGAAGTCGGGATGCAAAGGGAAGAAGTGTTTCTGCTGCCTCCCCTCCCCCTGCGTGCCGAAGAACAAATGCAAGGGCGGGTTCTGCGTCTCGAAGAAGAAAGAGTGCAAAGGAGGCCAGTTCCTGAAGAAGGGATGCAAGGGTAAGAAGTGCTCCTGTTGTATCCCTAAATGCGTGAAGAAAAAGAAATGCAACGGTGGCTTTTGCGTCTCCAACAAGCAAGACTGCAAGGGCGTCATACTGAGTAATGGCTGCAAGTCTAAACCCAAAGGGGGAGAATGTTACTGCTGCATTGAAGGTAAGTCGTGGTGCCATGTTGCGTTTAATGTGAGAGCTTAATGAAATTACTGTCATCCGTAATCAGGGCTCAGAATGCACTAACAAATTACAACCCATCAGGAGGAACTACGCCAGCAGGAGGAGCTACACCGGCTGGTGGAGCAACACCAGCAGGAGGAGCTACACCGGCTGGTGGAGCAACACCAGCAGGAGGAGCTACACCGGCTGGTGGAGCAACACCAGCAGGAGGAGCTACACCGGCTGGTGGAGCAACACCAGCAGGAGGAGCTACACCGGCTGGTGGAGCAACACCAGCAGGAGGAGCTACACCGGCTGGTGGAGCAACACCAGCAGGAGGAGCTACACCAGCTGGTGGAACAACTCCAGCTGGTGGAACTACGCCAGCAGGAGGATCCGCACCATCAGGAGGAAACACAACAGAAAACGGAACTACCCCGGCAGGAGGAACTACGCCAGCAGGAGGATCCGCACCATCAGGAGGAAACACAACAGAAAACGGAATTACCCCTGCAGGAGGAACTACGCCAGTAGGAGGATCCGCACCATCAGGAGGAAACACAACAGAAAGCGGAACTACACCGGCAGGAGGAATTACCCCAGCAGGAGGAACAACCCCGGCAGGTGGAACTATTCCAGCAGGAGGAAGTACCCCAGCAGGTGGAGCTACACCAGCAGGTGGAGCTACACCAGCAGGAGGAAGTACCCCAGCAGGTGGAGCTACACCAGCAGGAGGAAGTACCCCGGCAGGTGGAATTACACCAGCGGGAGGAAACACAACAGAAAACGGAGCTACACCGGCAGGAGGACCTACTCCGGCAGGAGAATCTACTCCGGCAGGAGGAACAACCCCTTCTCCTTTACTACGTTTATATGCTACCCTTCAGGATAATATTGCTCTCCGTAATGCTATGTCTGAACTGTCACAAACACTTGACACTTTATTTGCTGCTCTAGACAGTATCCTGAATGCAAACACGGGAAGAAGACACCGACGTAGTGTTAGCGACATCGAGAGCATAGTCATTATAGCAGAACAAGCGACTGCAGCTGTTCAGAATGGCAATACGTCAGCTGTGACGTTACTTACAGAGGAAATAAAGGCGAAGACAAGCGTCGTTTCGGATCTCGCCGAAGCAGCTGCAAACAATGCAACATTGGCAAGGGAACTACAAGCAAGCGTAGGTGCTGCAATCAGTGGAATTCGTGACCTACAAGGAGCCGTCATAACGAAAGACAAAGAAGTCAAAAGTAACATTGAAAAAGTACAGCAGGAAATAAACCAGTTCGGGGGAACTACTGTTGACGTAACAACCATTGATATTAACTTGATAACAGGTAAGGAAGGAAAATGAGTAATAAGTCAACGTTTGGCAATCTACAGTATTTACATATATACATACATAAACATACATACATGCATATATATATATATATATGTATATATATATATATATATATATATATATATATATATATGCGAATATATACATATATATATACACACATACACATTTACGTACTTATATAAATAGATATTTATATGTGTATATATATGTACTTATATAAATAGATATTTATACATATATAATTATGTACTGTGTATATGTGTGTATGCATGCACACACACACACACACACACACACACACACATATATATATATATATATATATATATATATATATATATATATATATGCATTTATGCACATATATATGTATAAATATATATATAAACATACATGATTATGTACATTTATATGTGTGCACACACACATATGTATGTATACATATATATACATAAATTTATATATATGCCCATGTGTCTATACTATTCATCCACACACATACACACGTGTGTGTGTGTGTGTGTGTGTGTGTATGTGTGTGTGCATTCATATATACATATTTATGTAGATGAAGAAAAAGTTTTAATTTTTGAAATATCTACTTTTCAGACGGTGGCATTGAAGAGACCATTGCCAAGGAAGAGGATGATACTACCATCGCAGACACCAGCACCATTTTGGACACAATAGTAGAAACTACCACAGGGGATACTGCCACCGTAGATATCACCCTGATTGATACCACAGCAATGGACACTATCATAGACACTACAAACAGTAGACCTCACAGTCGACACCGCCATAGTAGCCACTGCCATAGATATAACAACAATGGAAACTACCATTGTCGATATTACTACAATAGACGCCACAGGAGATGCCATCACAGCTGACACCACCACAGGAGATGCCATCACAGCTGAAACCATCACAGGAGATGCCATCACAGCTGAAACCACCACAGGAGATGCCATCACAGCTGAAACCATCACAGCAGATGCCATCACAGCTGAAACCACCACAGGAGATGCCATCACAGCTGACACCACCACAGGAGATGCCATCACAGCTGACACCACCACAGGAGAGGCCATCACAATTGACACCACCACAGGAGATGCCATCACAGCTGAAACCACCACAGGAGATGCCATCACAGTTGACACCACCACAGGAGATACCATCACAGCTGACACCACCACAGGAGAGGCCATCACAATTGACACCACTACAGAAGATGCTATCACAGCTGACACCAGCACAGGAGATGTTGCAACAATTGATACCACTACCGAAGACAGCAGTACAGCAAATACCAGCACGTTGGGATCCTCAACCACTACACAGTGATGAAGAATCAACTAGCAAGGCAGTGACCATAGCGCCTAGACAATATCATTGTCTAAAAGAAAAAAAAAGAAAGAAAAAATGCACCCACTACCGATGCTATATTCTTGTAAAAAGGTAGACATTTCCACACAAATGTATGTTTCTGTATGCGTCTCTACTGTCATAAGATATGACTAATCGTTTGCATAAAAAATGAGGATTAAACAATCCTAGATCCTATAATTATATGATCAAATAAATAAAATATTTGCATTCTAACCATTCTTTCAATCGTATTATAAGAAATGAGAAACCTTTTTTTCAAATGCATGAATAATTCAGATTAAGAAATAAAATGAAAATTCATATTCATAATCCTAGTATACATGTGTGTGTTCACATATATATACGTACATTTATGTGTGAATGTAAATATATACACATGCATACATGTATATATATGTATATATATATGTGTGTGCTCCAAATATAATGGAAAAAAAATCCTGACTACTCTGCAACTTATCTTGTTTATACACCCCACTCTTCGCTCCGCAAGGCTGTAGAAACTTTCACATGCATTTCTCAAATTCAGTGAAAAAAAAAGAAAAAGAAAAAAAAGGAAAAAAAAGAAAAGAAAAAAGAAAAGAAGAAGAAGAAGAAGAAGAAGAAGAAGAAGAAGAAGAAGAAGAAGAAGAAGAAGAAGAAGAAGAAGAAGAAGAAAGAAAAAAAAAAAAAAAAAAAAAAAAAAAAAAAAAAAATATATATATATATATATATATATATATATATATTATATATATATATATATATATTTTTTTTTTTTACATACATTGTTCTTATGTAAGTTGCATGAGGTTCTGGATCAGATATGGCGTCTCTGGATCAGATATCTGAATAATTCCGATGACCACGGGCATTTATTCATCTTATTGATTGAATTATATTAACCAATCAAGATATACAGCCTGAAAGGTTATATCATAGAGTGCCGAATATTTTTGAAGACATTCCTCCCTCCACGGGAAATGACTCGCACACGTTTGTGATTCTTACCATGTCGTTCCAGCGAACGTCATGACTGACTTCAAAATTCTGCCCATATCAAGTGAACATGTATTTGATAAACTGTTTAAAAAAGCACAGACACATTTTATGTCCCATTAAATAGAATCTTGTATTAATAAACTTACGAAGCTATTCGTAATTATTGAAAATGTAAATCCCTCTCTGAGACTACATGAAATATCACACTGATAGGCTGCTTGGAGTGTATCACATTCTATTAAGGAAGAGGCATATAAGGTCTTTTTTTGTAGCATCCCTAAACCCCTAACACTTCGATACATTGTTTCAAGCGCTACATAACACGATATCATCGAAGTTTGCACTGACTTAAAAAGTGGTGAAAAAAAGGAGAAATTAACTTTACTTATTTCACGAGTCAATAGAAAGCCATTAAAGTACATAGTATGCTGATATGAATTTTATTTATAATCAAAATATTGTGGGAGCTTCTATATTCCTTGATTTGACATAATTATTTACTAGATGTTGGGCTTTTACCCTAATGACTTGGCCGATATCTCATCTTAGTTGAACGAATGGGTAGATTCACATGTTTATTCGATCCAGCTATAGAAATACTCGGTGGGAAAGGCTAACATGAAGTCTAAAGTGAATATCACTACATTTTTTGGCTCACAGTTTGTTGTATTTATTGAACTTGTTTTTGTTCGAATTATCTCACAACAAATTTTAATATGAGAACCTCTTTAATTAATTTACTTATGCTGTCTAATGTACTATGTTCACTATTTCAGCACTGATGATGGATATACGATTTATCTCTGGAAACGATGGCAAAATAAATATCAAATTAATCACGGCCGTATTAGTCTACCTCTTCGTTTTGACTATATATTTATACATACATATATATATATATATATATATATATAATATATATATATATATATATATATATATATATATATCAGTGTGATATTCACGTAGTCTCAGATAAGGATTTACATTTTCAATAATTACGAATAGCTTCGTAAGTTTATGAATACAAAATTCTATTTAATGGTGTATAAATATTTCTGTGTTTACCATGTCGCTGGAACGACATGGTAAGAATCACAAACGTGTGCGAGTCATATCCCGTGGAGGGAGGAATGTCTTCAAAAATATTCGGCACTCTATGATATAACGTTCCAGGCTGTATATCTTGATTGGTTAATATAATTCAATCAATAAGATGAATAAATGCCCGTGGTCATTGGAATTATTCAGACATCTGATCCAGAGACGGAACTTAGTCGCGGTGGATATGATAAGATGCAAAGCCTCATGCAACTTACACAAGAACAATGTAAGTAAAAAATATATAGATATATATTGACTGAATCTGAGAAATACATGTGAAAGTTTCTTCAGCCTTCCGGAGCGAAGAGTGGGATGTATAAACAAGATAAGTTGCAGAGTAGTCAGGTAATTTTTCCATTATATTTGGAGCACACACACATATATATGTACATATATACACATGTGTGTGTATATATATTTACATTCACACGTATATGTATGTATATATATGTGCACACACAAATGTATATTAGGATTATGAATATGAATTTTCATTTTATTTTTTAATCTGAAATATTCATGCATTTGAAAAAAGGTTTCTCATTTCTTATAATACGATTGAAAGAATGGTTAGAATGCAAATATTTTATTTATTTGATCATATAATTATAGGATCTAGGATTGTTTAATCCTCATTTTCTATGCAAACGATTAGTCATATCTTATGACAGTAGAGACGCATACAGAAACATACATTTATGTGGAAATGTCTACTTTTTTACAAGAATATAGCATCGGTAGTGGGTGCATTTCTTCGTTATTTTTTTTTCTTTTAAACACTGACATTGTCTAGGCGCTATGGTCACTGCCTTGCTAGTTGATTCTTCATCACTGTGTAGTGGTTGAGGATCCCAACGTGCTGGTATTTGCTGTACTGCTGTCTTCGGTAGTGGTATCAACTGTTGCAACATTTCCTGTGGTGGTGTCAGCTGTGATGGCATCTCCTGTGGTGGTTTCAGCTGTGATGGCATCTCCTGTGGTGGTGTCAACTGTGATGGCATCTCCTGTGGTGGTTTCAGCTGTGATGGCATCTCCTGTGGTGGTGTCAGCTGTGATGGCATTTTCTGTAGTGGTGTCAACTGTGATGGCATCTCCTGTGATGGTTTCAGCTGTGATGGCATCTCCTGTAGTGGTGTCAACTGTGATGGCATCTCCTGTGATGGTTTCAGCTGTAATGGCATCTCCTGTGGTGGTGTCAGCTGTGATGACATCTCCTGTGGTGGTTTCCGCTGTGATGGCATCTCCTGTGGCGTCTATTGTAGTAATATCGACAATGGTAGTTTCCATTGTTGTTATATCTATGGCAGTGGCTACTATGGCGGTGTCGACTGTGAGGTCTACTGTTGTAGTGTCTATGATAGTGTCCATTGCTGTGGTATCAATCAGGGTGATATCTACGGTGGCAGTATCCCCTGTGGTAGTTTCTACTATTGTGTCCAAAATGGTGCTGGTGTCTGCGATGGTAGTATCATCCTCTTCCTTGGCAATGGTCTCTTCAATGCCACCGTCTGAAAAGTAGATATTTCAAAAATTAAAACTTTTTCTTCATCTACATAAATATGTATATATGAATGCACACACACATACACACACACACACGCACACGCACACACACACGTGTGTATGTGTGTGGATGAATAGTATAGACACATGGGCATATATATAAATATATGTATATATATGTATACATACATATGTGTGTGTGTGCACACATATAAATGTACATAATCATGCATGTTTATATATATATTTATACATATATATGTGTATAAATGCATATATATATATATATATATATATATATATATGTGTGTGTGTGTGTGTGTGTGTGTGTGTGTGTGTGTGTGTGTGCATGCATACACACATATACACAGTACATAAATATATATGTATAAATATCTATTTATATACGTACATATATAAAAAAGTACGTAAATGTGTATGTGTATATACATATGTATATATTCGCATATATATATATATATACATACATATATATATATATATATACATATATATATATATATATATATATATATACATATATATATATATATATATGCATGTATGTATGTTTATGTATGCATATATGTAAATACTGTAGATTGCCAAACGTTGACTTATTACTCATTTTCCTTCCTTACCTGTTATCAAGTTAATATCAATGGTTGTTACGTCAACAGTAGTTCCCCCGAACTGGTTTATTTCCTGCTGTACTTTTTCAATGTTACTTTTGACTTCTTTGTCTTTCGTTATGACGGCTCCTTGTAGGTCACGAATTCCACTGATTGCAGCACCTACGCTTGCTTGTAGTTCCCTTGCCAGTGTTGCATTGTTTGCAGCTGCTTCGGCGAGATCCGAAACGACGCTTGTCTTCGCCTTTATTTCCTCTGTAAGTAACATCACAGCTGACGTATTGCCATTCTGAACAGCTGCAGTCGCTTGTTCTGCTATAATGACTATGCTCTCGATGTCGCTAACACTACGTCGGTGTCTTCTTCCCGTGTTTGCATTCAGGATACTGTCTAGAGCAGCAAATAAAGTGTCAAGTGTTTGTGACAGTTCAGACATAGCATTACGGAGAGCAATATTATCCTGAAGGGTAGCATATAAACGTAGTAAAGGAGAAGGGGTTGTTCCTCCTGCCGGAGTAGATTCTCCTGCCGGAGTAGGTCCTCCTGCCGGTGTAGCTCCGTTTTCTGTTGTGTTTCCTCCCGCTGGTGTAATTCCACCTGCCGGGGTACTTCCTCCTGCTGGTGTAGCTCCACCTGCTGGGGTACTTCCTCCTGCTGGTGTAGCTCCACCTGCCGGGGTACTTCCTCCTGCTGGTGTAGCTCCACCTGCCGGGGTACTTCCTCCTGCTGGTGTAG